GAAAAACCCTCGTATTGGGACATGATGACACACATGAAAAACATGCAGACGGAACTCTTCAGAGAATGACATATGCAATTGCAGCTGATAATTGGAGGAGGCAGTTGGTCAGACACTTTGACTCAGCAAGATGCCCACGGAGTTTCGCAAGGATCTGGCAGTCCATCATCTAAAGGATGATGCTCTAGTGTGGTGGGAAGACATAGTGGAAGACACGCAAGGACATCACGATCTGACATGGATGTACTTCCTCTAAGAATTTAATAAGAAGTACTTTCCGCGGGAATCCCTTGACCGAATGGAGGGCCAGTTCCAAGATATAAAAAGGGAACTCGGAGTGTGAGAGAGTATGGCAAATATTTTACAGACTGAGACGGTTTGCGGGGAACATATGGGAAAAGCAAGAACTACTACGAAGATTCCTGAAAGGTATGAGGATTGAACTTAAGAACAGTTGCAACATCCGAGAATACCAAAACATAAACGAGCTGATCAAAAATGCATAAGAACAGTAATCCATGCTGGAAGAAAAGCGTAAGCAAGCTAAGATAATGCATGCGACAACTGTGAAAAGGACTCGGGAAATCTTAAGTGAAGAAATCTTAGTTCCACCTAAACAACTGTGTGTAAGGTGTGGAAAGAAGCACCTGAACGAGTGTTGGTATGGGGTGTGTTTTCGGTGTAAGCAGTTAGGACACCTTAAGAAGAATTGCCCGCTTAAACAAAAACCGGATACTAGATGTTTTCGCTGAAATCGTCAAGGTCATATAGCAAAGGATTGTAGAGTTCATAATCTGACTAGACAGTGAACTCGCAGTTTTTTCATAATATGACTAGACAGTGAAGAGCAAGGAACATGATTACATGTTTATATAATAAGCAAGGAGAGAATGTGGAGGAAGAAAAAGAACAGGTCCTACTAGTTATTTTAGATCTTTTTTTGAAACTTCCAACCCGTTATAATTGGAAGAGGCTCTGGGATATATTTCGGCTACAATTACTGATGCTATGAACAATGATCTAGTTTCTCCAGTCACAGAATGGGAAATCAAACTTATGTTATTTGCGATGCATCCAGAGAAGGCACCGGGTCTTGACGGTTTGAGTGTTTTATTCTACCATAAGTTTTGGGATATAGTAAAGGAGGACTTGACCCGTATGGTCAATGAATTCTTGTTTGAGAGTACTATTGCACCATGCTTGAATGATACAAATATTTGCCTTATCTCGAAGAAAGATAGGATGAATGGACCAATTCCGTCCCATAAGTTTGTGAAATGGGAGTTATAAGTTAGTCTATAAGGTCTTATGCCAAAGACTAAAGAAGATATTACCAGATTGTATATCTGAAACCCAATCAGCCTTTGTTGCGGGCAGATAGATTACAGATAATATAATGATCGCACAAGAGATGTTCCACGTGTTGAGGACAAAGCCTGGAAGAAGACATAAGTTGATGGAAATTAAAACAAATATGAGCAAAGCATATGATCGGATGGAGAGGATCTTTATAGAAAAGGTTCTAGAAAATATGGGATTTTCTAGCGTTTGGATAAGCTGGATTAGGAGATGCATATCATCTGTAAGATACCATGTTCTAATGAATGGTCAGCCTAGAGGAAATATTTTCCCCGAAAGGGGCTGCGGCAAGGAGATCCTTTGTCTCCTTTCATTTTTTTCTTATGCACGGAACTGCTCGTTAGCCTTCTTAGTCATGCAGAAACTTAGGGAAAGATAACGAGAATGTGCGTCTCTCGCGCTAGCCCCTTTGTATCTCACCTGTTATTTGCTGATGATAGCCTGTTATTTTGCAAGGCGGAGCCCCGTGAATGTGATGAAGTTATGAAAGTGGTCAAGGTTTATGGAAGGGCTTTAGGACAATGCATTAATTTTGAGAAGTCCTCGTTTGTTTTTGGGAAAAGAGTTCCCATAAATATTAAAAAAGAGATCAAGGATGTTTTGTCCATTGATAATAAGAGGGGAATAGGCACTTACCTGGGGATCTTGGAAGGTATTAGTGGATCAAAATTTAAGCTTTTTTCCTTTCTAAAGGATAGGTTGGATCAGAGAATCATTGGGTGGTCGGATCGTACGCTGTCACGCGGAGGCAAAGAAGTTCTCATAAAATCCATTGCATTAACCCTACCATCGTATGTGATGTCTAGATTTCTTTTACCTTCGAATCCGCCGAAGCGAGGAATGCATTGGGCATCATGGGATAAGCTTTGTATCCCAAACGAAAAAGAAGGAATCAGATTTAAGCTGATCCATGAATTTAATTTGGATTTATAGGCAAAACAACAGTAGAGATTGATTCAATTCTCAGATTCTCTTCTTGCAAGAGTTTTGAGAGGTAGGTATTATCGACAAAGCTCACCGTTACGGGGGCTAGAGGCAACTTCCCCATCTTATGTTTGGACAAGCCTGATGGCTTCTAAACCTCTCTTGATGTTGGGAATCAATTAGAAGGTTCATTCAGAGTACCAAATACGCGTTTAGGAAGATCTGTGGATGCCATCAGTCCCGGCTAGACCAGCTCGAGCAATTAGCCTTATGGTAAATCTGCGAATGTTAGTTAGTGATCTGATTCATGGCTCTCCAAAAGTGGGGAATGAGGAGATGTTAGAGAATCTTATAGTTCAGGAAGACATTCCCCTCATCCGGAGTTTGGCCATAAGCCAATCCCATATAGAAGACAAGTGCAGATGGCGCTATACCCAACATGGGATGTATACGGTGAAGTCAGGATATTGGGTCACGAGGAAAACTCTGAACCGCAAGCTGGAAGAAATGGTGGAGGAACCGAGGACAACCAGAATAAAGGCATTTGTATGGAAGATTAAAGCCCCACGTAAGATTCAACATCTTATAAGGCAGCTACTGTCTGGATATATTGCGGTCACGGGAAACCTAACAAGACGTCATATGAGTTGCAATAACTACTGTCCCAAATGTGGTGAGCTGGATGAATCTTCTAATCATGCTATTTTTGAATGCGCACCGGCTTTGCAAACATGGGCTCTTGCTTCCACACCATCACGTCCGGGAATCTTTCCAGTGACAAGCATTTTCACAAACTTAGACTATCTGTTTTGGAGAAAGAATGAAGTTGAAGATCCTAACCTTGATAAGGACCCCTACCCATGGATTATTTGGTTTCTATGGAAAACGCGAAACGACAAACTCTTCATAGGTATATCTAGAGATCCGCTGGAACTAGTCAGACATGCAGAAGGTGAATGTAAAGCTTGGTTTGAGGTAAATGCAAAAACCCCAGAAGCAGATCAAGAACATATGAATTCTCAAGTCTTAAGCTTGCAAAACATCTGTCTAGTGGGTGGATCATGGACAGCTGAAACAGACCGTAGTGGATTTGGATGGCTTTAGAAGGATGAGTTAGGAAATGAGCAGCTCTTAGGAATAAGGAACAAAGAGAATCGTATGTCCTCTTTGCATATAGAGCTGGAGGCTCTGATCTAGGTATGGAGAGCATGCTTCAGAACACAAACTGCCATAATTTTGGGACGGACTGCAAGAATATTATGACAATGATTCAGCGGCCAAAGGACTGGCCAAGTTATTCCACAGAGTTTGGAGAGTTCGCTTCACTAAGGGAAAAACTTCCAGAGTTCAAGATCTCATACATTCCAAGAACGCAAAATCAGACTGTTGATGGTTTAGATAGGGTTACTCATAATTTCATCGTCGTTTGTTTTTTGTTGGTTGTTCTTTTCCGTCTGGATTCGACCACCTCAAACTTGAGTAATACAATAATCTTTTGATGTTAAAAGATCGGTTGTTTCCTAGCATTTCATGCTTAAAACTTATATATATATATATATATATATATATATATATTAAAGTTTATTTTCTATAACTTAATGTGTTAACTAATTTTCATATAAATATGATTAACAAAGAATAAAAAATAAATTTAAGTTTAATATTTTAATATATAAACAATGACATTTATAAAAAATTTAAAAACATGATTCAATCATAGGATCTATATAATTTTCTCTGCTTTATGTTTTACACTAGATTTTAACCCGAACAACCACACATGTGTTTAACTTCATTTATATATTTTACAGATATTTTCTATATATATACATATATTTAACGTTAAGCATATGTTTAAAGGTTTGTAATTATTAAAATAATTTAACATGTTGTACTTAATCAATTGTTTCAAATCGTCACATGTATTTTTCTCTTCTTATTATATATTTATCTTGATGAATTTACTTTTGTTTATTAACTAGTTTTTGACCTGCGCGCTCGTGCGGGTTTTTACAAAGTTATAATGTTATTTGTTTTTCATATAGATATAAATATATTATATATGTACCATCCGGATTATATGGAAGGTTGTTAATGGACCAGTCCAAAAAATTTTTTTAGTATTTTAAGTGTTTAACTAATTGAAATTTATAAAATTTTGGCCCATTTTAACATATAAACCTATGGATTTGTTATAAAAGTATTTTTTTTTTAAATTCTTGTGAGATTTTGGACCATTTTAACAAAGATCTAAATACTGAAAGTTTGGCCCATTTGAACATGAAATATATACGAAAGTTTAGCAATTTTGAGCCCTTATAATACATATGGATTAATTACAAATGTACCATACAATTTTTTAGTAATTTAGTTTTATAATTAATAGTAGATATTTTTTGATAAGTAACACATGATATATATCACAAAATAATGACTAACTACTCAAATATTACTCTAAATCACACTAAATCAATCGGTTGTCTAAATCAAACATTTATCTAAACAAAGCCTAATATATTAATAACCAATCACAGCAATCAAAATAATAAAGAAATATGAACATAGATAGCCGATTAACATAAAAACATTAAATTTAGTTTAATACATCAAAATATCAAAGAAAACTGGTTTTCTAAACCAGACAAAAGTTCAAGACATTCATAGCCGAAACACCTTAAAACATAAGACATACCAAAAGAGATGAGGAAAGAGATCAATTAAGGCCACATTTGTGGCTCTCCTAGCTTTTCCCAATTCAGATTAGGAACCTTAACATCAGAAAGACGGGCCTGAGCAAGAGCAAGTTCTCTTTCCAGCTTCTCCTTCACATCCATCATAACGCCGTCGTTGAAAAGCACTTCAAAGAGTTCTAGTTTACCATAAATGCGATAGACTTTGACCTCATCATTGTTCTCGGCAACGACGGCTTCATGGAACTCCCTGTAAATGTTGAGAATCATTCGGTAAGGCTTAATCCTATCATTCATTCCAGACATGAAAGCATATTGCAACAAAGATCCATGAAAATGGTTCGCAGCCATACTTAAATCATGATCTGCATGTTCATTTAAATAAACTTTTGTTAAAAAAAAAGATGACGTATACAAAACAAAACATTTAACTCTCAGTGAAGACATTAAAAGAGAATATGTATGAAAGGTAATGATTTGTCATGACAAAAATCATAACTAAATTATGGTAGATTGTCTTAACTCTCTAGAACTGATCATGCACATTATTATGTAATATAATCGTAGACAAATAAACAACATGTTTGGTTCAACAAAGAAAGATCTAAAAAAGATAGGTAACAAACATTAATTCCATATGAAACCTAACTCAAATCCTTGATCTACATGAAATGATTAAAACAAAGAAAAAAGATAACTTACAAAGCGTTTTCTTTTTTTTTTGGCTAGAAAAGGAGAGAAAACTGGAGAGAAAGAGATTGATTTGTTTTGATGGGAGATGACAGAAATTCTCCGTTATAAAGAAAAGAGAAAAGAGCTTTCTAGATTTGCAACTCTTGATTTGACATATAACATCATTAATAATATTCATTTTTCTTATATCCAAAGTTATCAAAATTAAAAGTATTTGCCATTATCAAGTTTTTATTTCCATACGTTACCAATAATAAATATAAAAGTGTTAAATATTTCAAAATATCCAGAAAAATCTCGCATATTATGTGAATTTATGTCATATATATTGTTCTGCAATATATGTTCCTGGTATTATGGAAACAATACTGATACCAAATTAATTAGTTTTATCTTGTGAATCTATACATTTATCTCTTCTAAGATAAATTTATGTGTGATATTTTGACAATGAGATTTCAAATCCAGAATAGTAACAAACTGACTAATGACAATATAGATATAATTTATTTTTATAATTAATGAAACTTATCTATTACGTCAAAATAAAATTCTGATTCATAAAAATTAACAACTTGCTCTTCTTTGGGCCGGTTTTAACAATTTGTTGGACCCTGTTCATATTCCATCTTCAGAAGAATGAGATAAAAGCTTCAAAAACCTAATACAAATAACTATTAGATAACATAAAATAAAATTGATAATAGATATCTTAATAAGTAAATAATTGATACTGACCTTTCAATTAATTTTCAACATATACTTCTTCTTCTTAAGAATCCTGTCTCAAAGGTTGTTGAATACCTCTTTGAAAACAACATTCATTGTTTTTCGCTGAGGTTTTCCATCTTTGTCCATAATCAGAATTTTCAGACCCTTTTTCGATGTCACCCTAGAAATAGCTACATAAATCTGTCCATGTGAAAACACTGGTCTTGGAAAGAAAATACCAACTTCGGAGATAGATTGACATTGGCTTTTGTTGATGGTTATTGCAAAAGCCACAGCCAATGGAAGTTGCCTTCTACGCATTTTGAAAGGCAATTTCGTGTATGATGGTGTGATCAATAATCTCGGAATGTAAATAGTCTCACCAACGTTTCCCCCTATAAGTATCTTGGCTCCAACCCTAAAAGGGCATAAGTTCTGGAATTACTAATCTAGTTCCATTCATCAATCCACCTGTAGGATCGATATTTCTCAGTACCATCACTGGACATCCAATCTTAAGTCTTATACTATGATTTGGCAAACCAGAAAGCTTAATGTTTTTAAAAAAATCAAGAGTAAGTCCTTCATCGTTAACTGATTTTACGTCAGATGGATCAATAATATTTGGAGCTCAAATAAATCATTTCCTCACATGTATAGAAAAGCGGTTAGTTAGAGAAACATAACAAAATATAGTATAGTAGATTTATGGAAGAATTAGGAGTATTTACCATCAAGTTTATCCAGCATGTATTCATTAATAGTATTGACATCATCCTTTGTTGGACATAGAATAGCTCTCTCTTGGAAAAACGTTGGGTTCTTGTTTCCTTGTAAAGAAAATAAGTCTCCATACACTACCTTGATATCATTAGCCCATTCAGGACATAGACCAGGAGACAACAATCGCATATTCTTTGTCAAGTTGAGGACTTTACAATGCTCCCAAAGATAAGATGAATTTAGAGAAGCCAAAACTATATCTGCCCAACTCCCATGACTTACTACTGGAAGTATCTGTCCAAAGTCACCTCCAGAAACCACAACCTTTCCTCCAAAAGGCCTCTTGGTTTTGCTTCCAACAATATTAGTTAGACTTCTATCCAAAACCTCGAAACAGTGTTTGCTCATCATAGGAGCCTCATCCCATATGTTGAGAGAAGGTGCTTTAACTAAATTCGCTTGATCTGTTCCATGAGTCATAGTACATGTAGAAAATTCATCAGGACTTAATGGTATGCCAAACCTTGAATGAGCAGTTCGTCCACCTGGTAACAACAAAGATGCAATCCCACTTGATGCAACATTAAGAACAATATCACCTCTAGATCGGATTGTCGCCGAAAGTAATCTCCAGATGAACGTTTTACCAGTGCCACCAAATCCATGAACAAAGACCATTCCTATATCTTCATTAACAGCAGCAATGATCTCATCCTAAACCTTCCCCTGTTCGTCAATCATCTTCCAAAGATCAGTATCAAGAGTAGCTAACAGTTCTTCACTATTGTAGTTGCGTTCATCAACTATTAGGACATTGGAATCTTGATCACTGCTTCTACATGGTTTAGGCATATATTCAAACAGTGAAAGAGAACTCCTATTTCTTCTCATAATCTTTTCAACCTCTTGGAGAACAAACTGTTTTTTATCATCATCACTTAATATGACATCTACAATTACAATGTTAGGAACTGTTAAAACAAAAACAAAAAAAACTATAATAAACTGATAATATTATATAAATGTATGATTAGTTTTTTAGATCCTTAACATGCCTATTCAAAAGCCGTCTCTTATTATGCTTAATATCTTCAGACAAATACTCCCATGTTTTTTCCCATACAACCTCTGGTTTGGACATACTACCAGAAAGCAGCATCATGAAAAATACCTGAAGAAGATTACTTGCAAAACCGTCAAAACTTCTCCTTTTTATATCCTGGATATACTCCTAATCATTATCTAGCATTCCATGTGCAAAACATGCCTCTTTGTAGGTAGAATATTCAACACCGTTAAATGTCGTGATGTCTTCATAATAGGTAGCGCCGGTAATAACGTTCAGCAACACTCGAAGATAATAAGATTTTTCTTGCGTCTTTGGAGCATAATTTATTCTGCCAATGCTGAATTCCTTTTTGCGCCTATGTAACTTCTTATTTGTCATATCATAAGTAAATAAGTTAGGAATTTGAGCATAAGTAAGAGTTCTTGAAAATTCATCAACTTTACACAACTCAAACCATGCCAAAAACATGGTATACGTGCTAAGCTTACAGTTGACGACGTCCTCAATTTTATGTTTGCCTTTGAAGAAAACAATTTGTTTTCCAAGAAGATGAAACTGAAGCTTCTCAACTGATGTAGACCGATAATGTATTGGGAAAGCAAAAGTTCGCCATCCAGCTTCACAGGAAGAAACATGTCTAAAAAATTATAAATTAGTTCAAGTATGCAATGTTCTAATGATTAAAACTGAGATTAAAATTGTAAAAGTTATGGATTCACGAACATGCAATCGAAATTTTTTTGGAATTCATTATTCTTTTTTGAACATTAGCTTCCCCATTAGATACACCAGCATTAGATTCAGTATAACCTTGTGGTCCCACAACAACAGTCACACGATCACTACCCTTGTTGATGTACTTAAATAAGTACTTGATAGAACCTGCTTGGTTGCTCCACTCCACATTAATATGAGCCCGGTATAGAAGATAGAGTTTATTTTTGTAAGGAATAACAAATATGTTATCGCATTTGATCCCATTCTTCAAAATAAAATTATCAGATTGCTCTTGCCTTCTATAAACAGGGAAACCTTCTTTATTTACTGTTGTCTTCTCTAAAAAGGATTTTGGATACAACTTAGAACATTGTCTATTCTCCATACATGGTGCATTCCTGTTAGCAGCTTCACACGGTCCATGAATCATCATATCTTTAATAACACCATATAGTTCTGGTTCAGTGTTCTTATTGGTAATTTCTGCCTTTATAATCTTCTCAATATCATATGTCGTGGCAAACTTGCATTTAGGATGCACGAAGAGTAGAATTTGAGCATGTGGGAGTCCACGCTTTTGGAACTCAATTGTGTACATAGCTGAAACATAATAAATAGTTAAAAACAAATAAATAACAGCATTATAATCTAATATGTAAATCGTGCTAAAGAGTAAAACATGATAACTTACATGCAACTGTCTTTTCTAGAAGATTTTTCTTGGTCAAAGAATTCATCAGAGAGTAAAGTTTGATCTTAAACATCCTAGATATGATTTATGTCCTGTCTTCAGGTGTTAACTTGTGTTGTTCTAGGTATCTTGTGATCTCTGGCCACTTAGGATTGCAAGTGAAGGTAATGAACAGATCTGGAAAACCAAAATGCTTGCATATGGCCATTGCATCCAAATAATTATTCTTCATATACCTAGGACCTCCTATAAAAGTAGCTAGTATAACATATTCCTTACCTTGCTCTTGCAAATCGACAGCCCCTTCACTCTCTGACTCTTTGAGAGAATCATAACTATCAGATCACAAAGATGTATGATTAAACTTCAAATAGCGTAGACGATTGGAATAGTGGTATAGGCATCAAACAAGAATTGCTGGAATAGGCGCCTAGAAAGTAAAAGAGTATGAGACTCATTCTTTCGTTCATGGAGACCAAATGCAAAAAATTGTCTCATGGATATAGTCTGCCTTTTTTTTGTTTTTTTCGTAGCTTCTGTTACTCCTTTATTAATCCCAAGTCTAAATCCATCCTCTTCATATATAAATATTAGAGGATACTGAAGTGCGAGATACACAACATGAATATCGATAATCCTCATAAGCTTTCCACACTGTTTTTGTAAAACAATATCTGTTTTATCCATGTCAAGATTGAAATCCCCTGGAATCAATGCTGCAAGCTCAGATGCCGTGGGAGTATTATA